GCTATCTCAATTTGTGTCCACGATATTCTATCTTAACCTTTAGTTTCACACTCAACTTAATTTTTTCTCAAACTCAAAGTATTATAATTTAAAAATCAATCAAAGTCTTTTAGTATAATCATACCTTTCTTTATAGCCGAAAACATTCATTTCAATTTACTTTTAATAATATAAAAATATTTATTATGATTTTAATCATTGTGATCTATATAACTAAAACACAACGCTCATAAAATATTATTATTATTATTTTCCATATGAAATAAAATTAATATTTTAAAGAATCAAAATTTTATTCTCTTTAAATTTCACCGAGAAATCGTTCTCATATTTTATAATATGTAAGTATTATAAGATAAATTTAAACAAATTTATATAATATAAATTAAAAATAATTGTAAATCTTATCTTAAAATATAAAGGTAATAATGGGTTACGGGAGGTTTATAAAGGAAAAAATCACACAAAAGGGCGGGAGGCTGAAGAAGAAAACATCGAATATCCGTAACGTTGCCTTTCTAATGGGAGGTTATCTTAAAATGTAAATCTTATATTAAAATATAATAGTACAGGGAGGTTATGCTATGAGAGGTTGTTAAAAGGAAAAAATAGGCGCGAGGAATGAAGAGGAAAACGTCGTATATCCACAGAATAGGACGTAGCCTTTGTATTTTGTGAAACTCTTTGTCTTCTGGCTTACCCTTAGTACGTCAAAGCCTAGTAAAATTCGACGTAACCATTGGATATTTTAAGCTTCGAAGTTGAGAAATTAAAAACTACTAGATTGTGAAAGAAGTTCCAAGAATTCTATCCAGACATGGATTCTTCATCATCTACAAGAAGATAGAAGGTTGCTCGGGTTACAAGAAACGCAAACCCATCTACATGGATAAGTTATGAAGAGATCCAAGGAAAGTTTTTATACTAGAGATTTATAAAATATGTAGTTCCTCACTAGTATCTGGCCCTACAATTGTTCAAGAAAGAAGGGTTCCTTTTTCAAGAATGGATTGCATATCAAGGGCTTACTGATTTTGTCAAGATGAATGGAGATTGCTATCCAAATTTGGTAGAGGTTTTCTACACAAACCTGAGGGTTGTAAATGGGGTCATTCACTCAAGGGTCAAAGGTGTTAACACTACTATTGACGATAATGTTTGGTTAGATATTGGTGGACTGGAAGTTGAAGGTTTGGATTCTCATGTCCGTGATTCTGAGTCAAACATATGGCTAACAAAGAGAGTTATCTATATAAACTGCTTAAGATATCCATGAAGGAACAGGGTGGATAAGTAGTACCTACATGATGGCTTAAACAAGGAGGAGAAAATGATTGCTTATGTCCTGACTTGGCTACTACTGCCTGCAAGATATGTCCAGGACAGAATGTCAACAGAAGATGTATTTCTGTTGAATGCTATCAAGACTAGAATCCCAACCAACTGGGTTGTTGTACTCAAAGAACACATGATCGCTGTAGGAGATCAATATGCACACCAATTGCCATATGGTGTATTTATCAGCCAGGTGCTGATACTCCAAGGGGTAGATGTATCTCAAGAAGTTAGACTTGTGTGCAACAAGTCACAAGAAAATTGTATACTAAGTCTGTTTTCTATTGGACTAGAAAGGACTGTGAATGGATAGTTCTTCAGAGATGAGCTAACTGTTGGAAGTACACCTACTCCTGCTGCAGATCATACTGCCTTCATTCCACAAACTGGTTTTGAGAAATATGTTGTTGATCAATTTAGGAAGAAGTATGAAAGCGATGAGAGAGTTGAAGATACTCTTTTGAGATGGGAGAAGAAGGGAAACAAGAATTGCATTGGCTTTGAAACTGAAGATTTTGATGATGAGTCAACTGATGAAGATTGAATGTAATATTCTTCGTAAGAATAGGGACTACTTTTCTATGTGCATTATATTTTGTAATCGTGCCATTAAGTGACCTCTGGTTTTAGGTAGTACTTCGGTTTTATTTTAAAATGAAATGAAGATTTATTTTAGTAAACGATATGTGAATTGTGAATGAAGATTGCATTGTATGTGGACTAACCCTCAATCTAGTTGAGAAGAGAAGATTATGCAGTTATGATATTGATCAAAAATTGATCACTGGTTTAAAAGTGCAAATTTCATTACTCTGCTAACTTGAATCGATTAAGGAAGAAGAAAAAATAAAATTTCATGTCCGATTTTTAAGAAAAAAAATCATAAGAGCTGCGGAAAAAAATGTCAAATTCGCAGCGAATACGCCATTCTATTAAGCACACAATTAATGCCGCAAAGTACTTCAATTTCCTTCACGTCCCAGCCTGGCAGCCTACGACGTTCTATTGCAAGGCAGAAAAGAAAAAAGATTCGGAAGTATGGCACAAAACGTCCATTCTAACAAAACTAACGTTGTATTAATGCTTACTTTTTAAAACAATAAACTAAAAAGAATTAAAAAGGTAGAAACTTTAAATTTTGGCTTCCAATACTACGTCCAAGCCCCTAGAAATTAGACGTAACTTTTGCAAATTATAGGAAAAAATTTAATAAAAAGGCGCGCTGTTTTAAGATAAAACGTCGATTGGTTTGGGAGTTCGACGTTGTTTTTTAAACATAACGTCAAACTTTTTTGTCTTCGACGTCAAATTGTACTAGTGGATGTAAAAACAAAACACAGTTTCACTATTTGTTCGCGCTTCCATTTCTGCTTGAACTTTCTTCTTGGTGGACGACTGCGATAAAGAAAGAAGGTCCTTTTAAGTCGTTTCTGCATTTGTAATGTCATTTGGTTCTCATTTCTAAGGTTGACCGATTGTTTTTCGTTTATCTTTAGGCTGTTTTTCGTACGGGGACAACGAAGTTCATCAACTTCTCAAGTGACACCGTTTGAAGTATGTTTTTTTTTCTTAAAATACTCTTACGTATGATGCATGTGATCGTGTTTGTGTTGTGTTTTTGGATTCTGGACGTATGATATCTATATGTACAACGATACTATGATAGTTTTTTTTCCTTTAACGTATGATATTTGTGTAAGTTTGTTGTCAGCGAACTTCCTCATCTTCTCCAGTGACACCATGTCAAGTTTCAATTTCTTTTTTCCTTAAATATCTCTTACGTATGATATATGTGTTCGTGTTTGTCGATTCTGGACGTAAGATATATGTATAACGATAGATATATTGTGTTGGTGTACGTATACTATGATAGTTTATTTTTTTCCTTCAACGTATGATAGGTATTTATTTTTGTTTCTCTACGTAAGTTAGTTTTTTTTTCATGGATTCTTTTCGTTTGGTTTAGTACTATGGATCGAAGCTAGATTCATTAGCGTCGTATTAGTGAAGAATATGACAGAGGGGTTTCTGAGTTCATATAATATGTTAAAGAACACGCAAAACCAATGAACGGGACATATTTTTGCCCTTGTGTTCGTTGTCTAAATCAAGTATATGAAGACTTGGACAACATCCATGATCATCTGTTCATCTATGGAATAATGAGAAGTTATACAGTTTGGACTTGGCATGAGGAAGTATAATATAACCCAACAACTTTAAGAGGTTCAGATTACGTGGACGAATGGATGGGTGATCATTTAGACGAAATGGTACGTGACGTTGGCGAAGAAAATTGTGGAAGAGCTCATTTATACGATAGTCTTAAGAACAATTCGGAGCAAGAGTTGTATCCAGGATGCATCAATTTTACAAGGTTATCGTCTACTTTGAAATTGTTTCATTTGAAAGCAAGAAACGGATGGACTGATAAAAGTTTCACGAAATTATTGGAGTTGCTGAAGGAGATGCTACCAGAAAATAACACGTTACCTATGCGTAATTACGACGCGAAGAAAATTATATGTCTAATGGGTTTGGAATACCAAAAGATACATGCATGCCCCAATGACTGTGTATTGTATAGAGATCATTGTGCTTCAATGAAGGTGTGTCCGACGTGTGGTTCGTCACAATTTAAGAAGAAAGTTGATGGAAATAACAATGAACGTAGTGAAGGTCCACCGGCTAAGGTCATGTGGTATTTACCTATAGTACCTAGGTTGAAACGATTGTTTTTTTGTTAAAGAAGATGCGAAGAATCTTATGTGGCACGTTGATGGAAGAAAATGTGATAATCTTCTTCGACACCCAACTGATTCCCCACAATGGAAGAACATTGACGGCACATTTCCCGAATTTAGTGCAGAGCTGAGAAACTTAAGACTTGCACTTGCTACCGATGGAATGAATCCTTATGGCAACTTAAGTAGCAAACATAGTTCATGGCCAGTTATTTTGATGATTTACAATCTATCTCCTATGTTGTGCATGAAGAGAAAATACATGATGTTGTCTATGATGATATCGGGTCCTAGACAACCTGGAAATGATATTGATGTTTATCTAAAACCGTTAATTGACGATTTAAAAATGTTGTGGGAAGAGGGCGTCAAGGTCTTTGATTCATATTCAGAAGAAAACTTTTGTCTGTGTGCAATGTTGTTTTGCACCATAAATGATTTCCCAGCATATGGGAACTTGAGTTGTTACAGTGTTAAAGGTCATTTTGCATGTCCTATTTGTGAAGAAAATACCAGCTATCTTCAACTAAATCATGGGCAGAAAACTGTGTACACAAGACACCGAAGATTCCTTCCTCGAAATCACCCTTACCGTAGATTGAAAAAAGCGTTTAATGGAAGACCTGAGGACGATGTAGTGTGCAGACCGCATAATGGGGAAGAAGTATACGCCCAGGTGAGGAACATTGATGTTGTCTTCGGAAAACATAAAAAAAACACCATTGATAAAAACATTTGGAAAAAGCGATCAATATTATTTAATCTTCCATATTGTTGTAAACTTGATGTGCGACACTGCATAGACGTGATGCATGTTGAAAAAAATGTATGTGATAGTGATGTTGGGACTTTACTAAACGTTAAAGGAAAGACAAAAGATGGAGTGAAAGCACGACAAGACCTGGTTGACATGGGAATCCTTTCTGAGTTACATCCGCAATCCATAGGAAGACACACCTACTTCCTCCAGCTTGTCACACTCTTTCAAAAAAAGAAAAACAATTTTTCTATCAATGTTTACATAGTGTGAAGGTTCCACAAGGTTATTCATCGAATATTAGTAGCCTTGTTTCTATGAAAGATTTGAAGTTGGTTGGTTTAAAGTCTCACGATTGTCATGTCTTAATACAACAACTTTTACCAGTAGCTATTCGAGCCATATTACCTGCCTCTGTTAGAGGTATTCTAACACGTTTGAGTTTGTTTTTCAATGCCATTTGCAAGAAAGTTGTTGATCCTCTACAGCTGGATGATTTGCAAAATGAGGCCATCAGACTATTGTGCCAATTGGAAATGTATTTCCCACCCTCATTTTTTGATATCATGGTTCATTTGATTGTCCATCAAGTGAGAGAGATTCGAATATGTGGGCTGGTTTTCTTGAGGTGGATGTACCCGGTCGAAAGATACATGAAGATCTTAAAGGGATATGTTAAGAATCAATTGAGACCGGAAGCTTCGATTATAGAGCGCTACATTGCAGAGGAATTCGTTGAATTCTGCTCAAGTTATATGCCAAGTTGTGACCCAATAGGACTTCCAAAGAAAATACATGAGAGCAGACCTGAAGGAAAGGGAGTTCGAGGTGTAAGGATTGAAAGTGTTAGTGGAAGAGAAGTTAATCAAGCACATTTGTACATTTTAAACAACACAGAGGATGTTATTCCTTACATTTCACAACACATTGATGAAATTAAGTCAGCACATCCACATATGAGTGAAAAGTGGACACTTAATGAACATAACAAATCCTTTTTAGCTTGGTTTAAGAAAAAGATTTATGCGACTCCGAAAATTTCTGAAAATCTATTAAGACTAGCTCATGGACCTAACACTGATGTGATCACTTTCGGCGGCTATTACATAAACAATTACTTGTTCTATTCAAAGGAGGAAGACGATAAAAGTAGAGTTCAAAACAGTGGAGTTACCCTACAAGCTGAGGCCTTACACTTTTCCAGTTCCAATGATAAGAATCCAATTACAGCATCAATCAGTTATTTTGGAATAATTCAAGAAATTTGGGAAATCGATTATCTTACTTTTAGAGTTCCAGTTTTCAAGTGTAAATGGGTTGACAGTAATTCTGGTGTGGTGACAGAAGACCTCGGATTCACTTTGGTGGATCTTTACAAAATGATTTACACAGATGAACCATTTATTATGGCTAGTCAAGCAAGACAAATATTCTGTCACTAACCCAATGAATCATAAATGGTCAGTGGTATTGGAAGGCAGAGCCATGCACACAACTCATCATGAAGACTCTCTAGATATACTTGAGACAAGCTACTTCTCATCAAGAACCATTGAAAATAAGGTTGATGATGTACTTGATGAAATACATGCAACTCGATGTGATTACAACGAAGGCATATGGGATAAATAGGTGTCTTAAGATTGTTTTAATTACTTGTACAATTTATTTGTTTTGTTTGTTCTAACTATAATGTACTAACACTTTGTAAACAGGTATGACGGGAGGAGGTAGGTAGATCTGTGACTCGGATGTCTGATGTCACATCCCGTTGGGTTAATGAGAAACCAGTAACGGTGGAGTTTGATCCTCGAACATTTGTGCCTATTGGGGCACATGCAACATCGTTCAAAAGTTACTTGGGCGTGATGGCAAAAGCACATGTCCCTATTGTCGCTACCTGTTGGAATGATGTCCCATAGGTTGACAAAAATCTACTATGGGAGGATATTTTGGTATGTTTAAGATGTTTTACTTCCATCATTGACTTATTTTTGTTGATCATGCTTTAACATTAATTTTGTTCTTAACAGGAAAATTGCGATATCCCTAATGATGAGAGGATAAGGAAGAAGATTTTATCCCACATTGTAGTCCGGTGGATGGACTTCAAGTCGAGTATGACACGTCAAATGTCTTTGGCTCTGAACAGAATGACACTCCTGTACAAAATATAAAATAACTGAGTAGGAGTGGGTGCAGTTTAAAGAATCTAGACTTACTCTAGAGTGACTAGTATGTTTTTTAATATTTTGCTCTAGTCACACAAGATGTTAATTTGTGATTTGTGCTTAATGATTTTCATTTTTTCATAGGTGAAAAGGATGGCCGCCCAGCAGAGGCAGAATCTTAATGATACACCACACGTACTATCACGTGGTGGTTATGTGTTATTAGAGAAAAAGATGAGAAAACGTCGCGTTGAGGAGTTAGGTCTTGAGTCACCTGATCTATTACCTCCACCAGCCAAACATGAATTGTGGAAGGCTGCACAGACAAAGTCCAATGGCCAGTTTCCATCGCAGTCTGTGATGACAAATTTATGAACACCGAAATACGGCGCCACAAACTTGTTTAAAAATCGGCAAGTGTGATCGAATCGTTTCAAGTAATAAACTCGGTAAGACCAAGTATCGTTCTCCCAAAGGACTCACGGCCTAGTTTAGTTATGTGATCCGTTGATTAGCTAAGACTTAAGAACGAAATAATTGGATTTTACTATGCAAAAGACGAAAATAAACATGTATGCATGAGTGTGATCAATGGCTAAAGCAAAATACAAACACTTTTGATACAAGAAGGCCTAGCACCATAGGACCCATCACAAGAGGGATGGCCAAAAAGCTCCAAGATGAGTATTCTCCCCAAGGTCAAATACTATTTGCTATTTTTGGATGGAAAATTGGAGAACAAGAAGATGTTACAAATTTGCCAAAACATGGAGAAGGGTAAAGTGGACATTTCCACACAAGAAGGGGTGTGCTTATCCTTCTATGGGGTGGCATTAGTAATTGTTTTCTTCATGTAAAACTCATTTCTCACGTGTTTCATAAGGCTTTCTAGAAGCCACACATTTAGCACATGGTTAGCATTTCAGATCTAAAAAAAACGTGTAAAAGGCTTGCTGAAGCTTTGAGATTGATCTATAAAATCTCATAAGCAAAGCTTGTATCTCACTTTTGAAGATATTGAGTTTTACTATGCTGATGCATTTTCCAGCAACCAGAACTCTTCCAAAAGTCACTTCTTATTGAGCTTTCCTTCTCCTTCTAGCTTCCTTCCAGTGAAGGCCGTCTGAGCTACAGAATCCACTCACCATAGAGCGCTCTTTCCTCCAATCTGCATCCACTGAATTCACATGTACGCTGTGTTAAAAAACAACACGTTCATTACGCTGCCAGGCTTCTCGTGAGCCTATCGACACGATCATAGTTCAATTCATCATTCAACTGCTTCAACCCACACTTGCTGGAGCAATTAATCAAGTGGGTATCAAGAGCCTTTGGTTATGCATCCTCTCCGTAAGGTTAACTTTTTCCTTCATCCATCTATGTCATCAACATTTCCTTGGTTTCTTCATTCTGTGCACTATTTACATGTTTTCAATTCCAGTAGATTCATTGGAATGTCTTGTTTCCACTTTAATTGCTTATTGTTAATATTTAATCGGTTCACTTTGCCAGTGTTGAGTCTTTCAGGTTGAAATCTCACATTTGTCATTGTCACAGTAATGTGTTGTTTGTTGTGGTTTTTTTGTCAAATTCTGGTGGAAATGGTTTGGGATAAAATCTGCGTGGTTTGAATGGATTTTCAATAGAAGCACATGCAGATGAGCAATGATTAAAGAGTCAGGCATCTTGAATTCCATCACAGTGCAGTTTGCCAATGTGAATGCTATCCAACCGTGTCTTAAATCTGGTTTTTCATGTGTTTTTTCTGAAACTGCACCGTATGGAAACATCATCCCTTGGCTGTGTTTGATGTTGATATCTGATGTTAAATTGCAAAACCATATGAATATTGTATTGCTAAAGACCATTAGACTGGATTGCACATTTACTGCACGAATCTGGAAATCCTGGTTTGTAAGCAGCTTGGACCGAACTTAGCAAGGTACAGTCATTGTTAGAAAGTTTCCGTTTTTTTCTGATTTAAGATCTTCCCAGTTAGAACTCCTTGGATTATCTTCAAGTCATTTCCTAGTAGTCTTGTTTCAAGTTGTATTTCTTGTCCTTGGGAGTCATTAAATTGTTCATTATTGTTTGATATCCTTGCTAATTTGGTGGTGATTTGGAGCCATAATTTGGTGGGCAAATAGAGCAAGCTGAATACGTAGAAATTCGAATTACAAGGTTTAGCCTCTGCTGCAGTTGAGCAAGTCATCATTTGTTAAACAAAGTTCGCTTCAAATCATAAAATTAAGAGTCACAAAGTTTGTTAAAATGCATGACAAACACCAAATTTCAACATTTTTTTTATGATATAAGTTGCAGATTGACAAATTCAGAGTTTGGTATGACTTTAATGCATCAGATCAGTGTTAGAGTGGTAGCCAAAAGATGGGTCATTGACGTTAAAAGAAGTGCACATTCAAATCTTACATAAAAACTGCATTGTAAAAGTGTGTGAACCCGTGCCAAACAAAATTTAAAACTGTGCACTTTTTTTCAGTTTCTTCTAGGCCTTTTGTCAAACACTTTGCTAGTTACATTGGGTTTCGACATGATCAAAGGCTGCAACTTATCTGTGTTTCTTGCTTTTCAAATCTACTCTAGATCCTTTCCTCAGTTTCATTGTGAGGTGCCACCATTCATTGAGAAACTCAGATTTTAAATTGATTGATTTTAAGTGTTTGAAAATCCTGCACATAAGCGTTTGATAAAACTAAGTTGCATTCTGGGTTAACCGTTTTCTGGCAGCCAGCAGTTGATTGTTCTGGTTAATTTAATGACTTATGGGTGCTCTCTGATGAGCTCTATTGTTGGGTGCAGAACTAAATCAAAACGTCCCACAACACTGGTAGAATCTTAGGCGTGGATGAGCAGGAAAGATCAACATGGGTAATGAGTTTTTTGTTGGTGCAGCAAGAAACCACCATTCTTCACTGGTCTGATACTCAAATGGTTGTGCAACAAGCAACATAATTTCACTTTGCAGCTGAGAGACTTGCATGAGCCAACAGCTGAATCCTTACTTGTTTGAGAGACCAAAGTGCCACATTACCAAATCCTGTTTTCCCAAAATTTGTTGTTTTCCCTTGTATTTTTTTGTGTTTACTTTGTCTTGTTCTCAATTTTTAAGGTGCCATTTCAAGCAAGTGCATGAAAGAGTTATAAGTGTTCTTCCCTCATTGCTACTTGATGAGTATCATCCTTTAAAATTGGTAGACGGGAGGGTTTAGATCCCAAGTCTAAGCCTCACCTAGGAAGAAGCACTGTAATGCTGTCCCATCTCGACTAGATAGCAGATATATTGTGAGAATATGAGCTCTCTTGGGGTCCCGAATTATTGGAGTAAGTTTAGGTTGTGTCTTTTCTTTAGCTTGTGTGTTTTCTTTGTTGTCTTTAGACCTTAAGTGGATTTTTAAGAGTGATTTGATCTAAGACTCTAAGTAAAGTTTAGCATAGAAGCATTATTTGGGAAGGGATTACGCTTTGGTACGTTAAGCATTCTTAGTGAATCACCTCCCTTACCTGGAGAATATTGCTTTCAAGTGAAAAATCTTCTAGTCTTTACTTACAAGAATAACATTTAGTCCACTCATAATGTTTAGAAGGCATTTCTCCTAGGATTAGTGATAGTGAAACAAGAACATTTTCTCCTTCAAACTTTAGTTAATGATTCAAGGGGAATATAAAGAGAAATAATGAAGGAGGAAAAAAAAAAAAAAGCCAATAGAGAGCTTTCAAAAGCTGGTATTCAGAGGAATTGAGGTTGATAGAGGAAAGTACAAGTCCTCAGGCCGGCCCACCACCCAGTACAGTAGTGAACACAAACTCTCAAGAGGGAGGGACCCCCTGATGTCTATGAGTTGGGGTGATTATACCCTCATCAGCCTTCTACTTAGAAGGCAGGTAGGGAGGAAATTCTCAATGCACCCCCGACCACCCCCTAAAGAAAGTCAATGTGGTGTTGCCTCACTTCCAATGGGAGAAGGACAATGTAGAGGCTTATCTGGATTGCGGGGAGATGAGAGAGTGAACAATGTTGAATGCCACTCAAGTGAGTGAAAGAGAGGAAGGTCTCTCTAGTACCTAAGCTTTCAAGGGGTATGCACATGTATTGGTGGACTGCCTGGTCCAAAAAGAGGAGGGCTTTAGGGGGACATTCAAGCCTCCCATCCACTATTGAATGATTCTCAAGTTGCCCTCCCCCCCCCCCTAGGAGACAAGAGACACATTCCCTCCTACTATAATAGATGAAACTCATGGAATAAACTCCAAAGGTTACAACAAAGGTCTATGGAATTTAGTTTGAAGGTATTTAATGCAAAATATAGACAAAAGATGGAGTGTTATATATGAGGGCGAGGGCGCATAGTAGAAGGTTCACGGAGAAATACTTTAGCTAGATTTTTAAGTGGGCTTCAATTTTGACATAAGAGATAGGGTTGAACTTCTACCTTATAGAGATTTGGATGATCTTGTTCACCATGTGTAATATAAAGTTTTAGACAAACACAAAACTTAGGGATGGGAAAATCTTCTTCTAAAAGAAATCAAGTTCACCTATTTTG